ACGGACACCTGTGTGCACGTGGGGCAAGTAAAGCCAAGGCTCTCCCGGTCTCCTTGTATCTGCCGCTGCGGTGTGACGTTCAGCCAGAGTTCACGCTTCTGAAGTTTCTTAAAGCATTTCAAAAGTGACTTCAAAATTTGGATCCATTTTTAAGAAAGTGACTTTTTCAGTGCAGGAATCCCTAGGAAAGGCATTGATTGCCAAGGCTCCTCTCTTAAATGGCCAAACACCAGCTAAGGAACAAGTGAGGGAGCAAAATGAAAAGAGAGGGGTCAGCATATTGAGAAGTCAGAAAAAGGAATATATTAATGGGAAAAAAATGTCCTTATTAAAGCTGCCAAACTCTGATTTCCTTTTGCGGGAAATCATTTTTCCAGTTCTAACTGGGGAGGTGTGTTACCGGTGCTGGAGGGCTGAAGACAGAGAGTGTCCTGTTCTCCCTGGCACGTTTGGACGACCTTGTATCTCGGGGGCCCGCCGGCCTCCGCCTGCAGGTCAGCACAGCTGAAGCGGCCCCTTGGAGAGCGGCCCACATTAGCATAAGCATTAGGAGGGCTTCTGGTTTTTTGTGTTTGTTTTAGCTTTCATTAGGGCCTCCTGCAGAGGCCGAAGGATTCCTCCATACTAAGTGCCTGCCTTTTAATTGACAGTAGGCTCTACATTTAAGGATATCACAGGAACTATTAACAACAAACATACCATCCATCATAAAATGAACTTTTCAGGCAAATGGTGATTTTTTTAAATTGCTTTTTAAAAAAAAAATATACAAAGACCTAGGATAAAATGGAGAAAAGTGAAAACAAGAAACTATGTTCATCTCTCTGTAAGTCTTTTATTCCCCACCTCGTGTAGGGTCTAGAATTTTGTGTCAGGAGATCCTTTGAGACTGACTTACTATCTAAGCCTTAGTAAAACCAGCTGTTTATCGTTCAAAAGAAAAATTTCCTCTGAAATGCACACCCTTCACGTTCAAGACAATAAGGAACATTTGTTCTTATCATTTAAGACTAAATTGCATGAGTAGTAAAATGTAAGAAACTGATGTGTCTTTTCAACACATTCAGAAAGGTGTGATTACTTTCTGGGGCTGGGTGGACACTACTTTTATCAGCAGTCCGCTCTACCTGTGTATGCACTCAAATGATGGGATGCCCATTTTTAACTAAATCATGTGTATTTTAAATGTTGCGTTCTTACAGCTTCCTACCATCCGTATATACAGCACAATAGGACTTAAGTTTTCACTGAGGCACTTGAATAATGAAAAATGTGTTTAATTTACATAAAGGATATACCATGTCTGAAAGTCTTCTAAAATTGTGACTTGGTACCTTCAAAAGTGAATTACAGGTATTTGATAAGCTCGCCATGAGCCTGTGTGTCAGTGTATCTAAACCAATGCTCGAGACAACCTAGGTGCTCAGACATTGTTAGCTGGAAGTAAATGTGAAAACCATTTTCACGTAAAAAGAATCCACGACACTGAATCGGAGTTCACTCTCGGTACTGGTGTTGGTAGACATGCAGTTGGGTTTTTTTGTTCCTGTGCCTGGGCCTTCACAGGAATTGTCTCCCTGGCTGCAGTTACTGAATTTTTAAGTGCAGTCGGGAAATTTGGAGCCCAGAGTGTTCTGCAACTCTATATTATCTGTGACTAGCCTTTCTCTTGAATGGATCTTATCCTAATTTCCTTATTCATAAACTTGCTTTTGCAAAGCTGTCTGGGATTTCTGTAAACAATCAAGCTCTCTCCGTATCTCAATATTTCTCCCCACCAGAATTTATTGCCATGTACACTTACGAGAGTTCTGAGCAAGGCGATTTAACCTTTCAGCAAGGGGATGTGATTTTGGTTACCAAGAAAGATGGTGACTGGTGGACAGGAACAGTGGGCGACAAGTCCGGAGTCTTCCCTTCTAACTATGTGAGGCTTAAAGATTCAGAGGTAAACCCACATTAACTGTTTCCTCCCCCTTTCTGTGCAGTGGTTCTCTTTTCAGGGAGTCATGATGTTTGACGACGGAACACTTTGTTGGGTTTCGCTGAGTTCTGGGACGTGACAGCCAACATAGTGTGACCTGTCATTGTTGAACTTGTCTGTTGGTGCTGCAGGGTCAGCCTTGGCTTCCCAGAAGCAGAAGAATCCCCGGGGCTAAGTGGAGGCTGCCTGTCATGAGGCTGGTCAGCTTCGATAATATTCAGGATTCCTCTCCATTCCTGAATGCCACTGACTTAAAGATTCGGAGTAAATGTTCTTGATAAAGTCTGTATGGTCACTGGTTTGGGGTACTCTAAGAAAGATAACACAACAGTATTTTGCCCATGTAAACAGACATATTTTGGTGATACTGGCCCCCAAATATTGAGCAGTAGAGAGTTTTTAGAATTTATATTTTTGCCTACACAGTAGGAAGACACAAGATCTGGGAGATTGGTCCACTTTGATCTTAGTATCTCTGTTAATCAGAGACTGAATTTATTTAAAATGCTGTTATCCTTATAAATTAAAAGTGGCTCCCAATTGTTGTGAATGGGGCCCTAAAAATTCAGATGCATAAAATGTGGTCTTGAGATTGGGAGAGATTAATGAGATGGTGACATGGGCCTACCAGAGTATGGGAGCCCATCTCGTAGTGGCCAATTTCAAGTTAGTGGAGAATTTCATTGGTCATTTAACAGACTCATAGCTGCTTGTGGAGCGAGGCTGGGCCTGGTGACACCATCAGCCTTCTTAGATTCCCTGCAGTTCCCTGAAATAATTTTATTTGCTTGTTTTTGTTTTTGTTTTTAAGGGAGTGTCTTTTTTGTTGTTCTTGTTTTTTCTTTTGTTTTCCCTTGCTTTGCTGTTGTGAGCAGCTTGCTAAAATTCCCCTGGAGGGATTGGCAGAAGTCCGCTTACCCTTGGAGAATTTGGCAGAAGCTGGAAAGAAAATACTTCTTTCCTGTAGGACAGTCATTGTACTGTCCCCTGCAGATCGGGGCGGTGGGGGGGGACGGAATTCACCTCTTCCCTGGGCCAGCCAGTTGGCTCCACTGAGAACCATAGAGATGACATTTCAGGGGAGTGGGGGGAAAAACATTAAAAACTAAAACTATTTCTGCTACCACACACAAAACTTGTAAAGTGGCTTTACCTTTGGGATGAGTTTAATATAAAAGCCATGACTTGTATTATATTTTAATAAATTAAAGTTTTCTAGCCCCAAAACATCCAAAGTCAGCAAGTTAAAAAAAAAAGAAACTAAAACACTGTGACTATTTTTAAAGGTAAGCTGAATTGTAAAATGCTTTTTTAACCACAGTCTTAAATTACCAGCCACAGAAGAACTAGCAGTACTAAAGATTTTGGCCAAACATTTAGCTACATTAATTCATAGTAATGAAAAAATCGAGAAAGTCAGCATCCTACTTGGACGTAGAGTTCAGTGTGTAAGGCAATATCCTATCACAGTTAAAAACCAGCCCCAGCCTCAGGTACAGAATTGACCTGTGGGCAAGGGAGAGGTTGTCCCATCCCCGCTTCCCTCCTCTGCATGAGGAGGGCTGGGGCACGTAGCCTGGGGCAGCTTGTCTACCGCATTCTTGAGCGGCTCCAGGACAAGAACATGGCCACCTGAGTCTGTCTTCGCTTATGTGCTTGGCCATGGTGTTGCAAAGGGAGCACACTGAAGCTGCTTGGACTCTCGCATTGGGTATTGCCAACTGCTTTGTTCTTTTTATGGAATATAGAGAGTATTTTATAAGCCTGTACTGGGAAAGTAACTGGTCATTTGGAATCTTGTTTCATTAGTATTCCTTTATTTTGATACACAGCCTATAAAAACTGCAAGGGAAGTGGGTGATGAGAGTAAATACTGGAATTCAAACTTTCCCTGCTAAGTGATTATTGAATATCAGTATAAATATAGGGACAATGATAACTTGTGTTCCTGGTAGATAAGTTACATATTTTTATTCTTACTATTATTCTCATTTAGTTAATTAAGCCTTTTGTTTTGTTCTGTTTTCACTGGAATACTTAATGTATTGGAAGTTAGGAACACAAGGGTGAAAATTAATTCGGAATAAAGCACTTTGTAACAACAGATGACGGCCTGGCCCCGGTCCCGACTCGAGGCTCCTACGGGCTTACTCAGATGGTTTAAAATTCCATGAGTATCCATGAAGGAATTCATCCCCAGAGCACTTTTGGAACACTTAATAGTTGAGGGGAAAATGGTCTCCTTCTATAGGTTGTGTGTCCAGCATTAAAAGAGAAATTTTAGTGTTTAAACAGGGTAAGATTTGGGTGGAAAGGCTACACAGGAGAGTGGCTGCCTCTTTGGATAATGGACTGGGGAAAGGGGTGTTTGAATTGCCACTGTAGTGTTTTCATTCTTAAAAAAAAAGAAAACTCTAAAGCAAAGTTCCCAAAATATTAATATTTTCATGTATGAAATGTGGGTGTTGGGCTCATGGTCGTCTGTGCTAGTTTGTATACTTTTTTATGTGTGAAATATTTAATAACCATTTGGACATAAAGCAGGAGCTTGGTGTTTGGGGTGTGGTCTAGCAGTCTTCCTGGCGGGGTAGCCCGTTTGATTTGCCCCATGGACAGGTTGCGCCTGTTTTGTACACAGTCACTTCCTGAGCCCTCTGGGATCCTACAGTGCCATGTACTTTGCTAATTTTTGTCTTAAGAAGAGAGTAAAAGCTGCATGTTTTAAAGTACTTGTTCTGTCCCGTGTTTCCCTGATAGACATCGCAGTGTCAGGAGATACAGTGCTACTGCGTTTCCCCAGGACGAAAAGGGGGGGTTAGGGGCTCAAGGGGGTTTGTGTCATCAGTAATCGTTTTTCTTTAAGTTGCTTGACCGAAACTCAGTATGCAAATGAGACCTTCTGCTCTGTTTTAAGGGCTCTGGAACTGCTGGGAAAACAGGGAGTTTAGGAAAAAAACCTGGTAAGTTACAAACCCTGATGCTTATTTTTCAATGTTTTGAGTGTAATTGATCATTGCTCCCAATCTTAGTTTAATAGGGCCAGAAGCCTTAAAAAAAAAAAAAAGACAAAAGAATCTTTCCTAAGAGTATTTGGAGTAGATCCTTTCCTTGGGATCCATGAATAATGGAGATACATGATTATGAAAGATGGCTGGTGCTTTGCACATGGGGAGTGGGGACGTTACCAGACAGAGTGTTCTCTTGGGACATGAAGAAACAATTCAGACCAGATGGTGGGCAGTTGTAATGCCCGGAGTGTCATTCCTACTCATTTTGAAGCCATTGGGGTGGTTTTCCTCAGGTACACAGTGAAGGAACAAAATTATAGTCATCCCTCTGAGCTCAAAGTGTTTTAGTTTATTTAAACAAAATCACATGCGCTATAAATAAGAGCATGAAAGAGAGAAGGCGCAGATGTGCAATCAGACAGTTGATGTGGCCCGTCTTCCTCATCTAGGTCCTTTGAGCTTTTTTGCTATTACAGCCTTAAGAAATTGCAGGTTGGGAGAGTCACTGCTGTGCTGAGGGGTCTGTGTGTGCTCGGCTGCCAGTGGGCTTACCTGGCAAGGAAGAGTGGATTTTCAGGTAGTCACGGGCTTCGAGGCTCAGATATTGGACCTTGACCCGGGGGTCAGATCTCTGTGGGTTTGGTTTTTGTTCGTTTGTTTTGTTTTGGGGCTTGGGGGGTGTAGTTAGGTTGACTGGTTGATTGACTGATTGAAGAGGTCCTGGGGACTGAACCCAGGACCATGTGCGTGCTAAGCATGCGCTCTAGCGCTTGAGCTATATCCGCTCCCCTGCTTTTTTGTTGTTGTTTTTTGTATTTTAAAAAAAAAATTTAAATGGAGGTCCTGGGGATTGAACCCAGGACCTTGTGCATGCCAAGCATGCGCTCTCCCCCCTCAAATCTCTGTTTTAACTATGAGTGTGCTACATTTTGAATTCTCATTCCAAAGGGTCCAGAGGGGCTTAACTTTGCACTGAAACCAACAAGCTGCTCAGGGACATAAGAGACAGAAAAGAGTGTTGGGCCACACAGCCAGGTCCTTTGAGGAGCAGAAACATTGGGGGCCAAATAGGAGCCATTTGGACCTTCTCCAGACCAAAACCTCTCGGAGTGTAGAGCTAGTCCTTGGCATGTTGGGGGAATTCTCATCCCCAGCACAGATTTCCCAGCTCAAGCTCTCCGTAGAGCCCAGGTATGTGTGAGCTGGGCTCTTTCTTGCTTCCACTGAGCTCTGGAAGCATCTGGCAGGGCTGGGCTGCACCGATGGCCTGGTGCTCCTAGCATGGTGGCCACTGACTTCAGAGCAGGGTCCTAAGAGGCTAATGTGCCTCTTAGAGAAGCAGGAAGTACTGTCAGAACATGGGCCTTTTCTTCTTTCCTTCCATCTGTCTTTACTTCATTCCTTCTTCCTTCATTTCTTTGTTTCAAGAATGACCATGATGGGGAAAGCGTGTCGAGGAACAGAACAGTGTGTTGTTCTGTATTGCTTCTAGAAGTGCAGAAGGCAGTCGCTGTAGATACACCAGAATTCGGTCAGAGAAGGATTTTGCCCTTTCCTAGTCGACCTCTTGTGCCAGTAGAAATGGACTTTTCCAAGCCTTGTCGTGGTGCTGATGGAATTTTTCCCATGAGACACTTTTAACATTCAGGAAAAGTACAGAGCTGTTTATTTTTTCTTGGGCTGAATTGTTATTTCCCATAAATGCCTCTCTTAACTTCAGGAGCCTCCTTTAACTTGAAAAAAGGAGAAGTAAACTTGGATTGACACGATTTCCTACCTGCCGTTCAGGGACCACCCTCAAAGTGTGAGCTGCCAAGAAAATGGTCTTGTGGGTAAAAGAGAGAGTCTGAAGAAAGTCATAACACACCAGTCAGCTAGGAAAGCAGCTCCCAACGGTTTCTGAAGAAAATAGAATTTCTTTCTCCTGTCCTTGGCAGGTGGAAAAGCTTCACTTGATTTCCTTTATCCACTCAACCATCCCTGAGTGGACTGTGTGCTAAGCACCATGGGAGGGCAGAGGGCAGGGTGATGAATGAGGCCCAGCTGTTGGCATTGGGGTGGCCACAGGAATGGTGGGAGGGCTGGGATGGAAGGTGTGGGACCTGGGGCAAAGGGTGGGGAGTTTATGGAAGCAAGTAGGTAAGTTCTGAGAGATGAGGGAGGCCTGGAGCAGACTGGGCAGAACCAAAAGACAAACTCAGCCCCTGAGTCCTGCATGTGCGTTGGAGGTCAGGAAATTGGGGAGTTTGGGATCGAGCCTTCTTCACTCAGTAGAAAACCAGCCCCGCCCCTGGCTTTGATGATGTTGCCCTGTGAACCCGGGAGGTGGCTGTGCCTTCTTCTTAGGCTCTCCTGCTCCTGATCTAACAGTGCCCGGCCACGTTTGATCTTGTTTTCCAGAAATCGCCCAGGTGATTGCCTCCTACACCGCCACCGGTCCCGAGCAGCTCACCCTGGCCCCTGGCCAGCTGATTTTGATCCGAAAAAAGAACCCAGGTGGATGGTGGGAAGGAGAGCTGCAAGTTAGTATCTTTTCCTTTTGTTTAAAATTTCTGTCCAGATTTGAATATGTAAGATCTCAAAGGGATGCTGTTTTCATTGCAAAGTATAAATAAACCGGCACTGCCTGAATCCTGCATTCGTGTAACGAGAGACGCCACGTTTTCTGAATCCATTTGGTTCCTAAGCTTCAGGCAACCAGTGAGAGAATTGTGAGAGCTAAGGAGTCTTCTGATTTGTCCAAATCTGTCGGATTCCTGAGTTCAGCCAGTGAGTGTTGGGATGGTGAGAATTGGTGATGCGGGATGGAGTCATCCTTAAGTGTCAGCGTTACAGAAGCAGGGCTGTGTTATCAGTGGCGTCCTAAGATGCGGTGCATTCAAAGCCCCATTTGTACATCACGACAACTTTAGTTCCTCAGTGCGTGTGTGTATCCTCAGTTCTTGGTTCTATCAAAGCAAACTTTGGTCAAGAAGGGGAAGGTCTATGTTGTGGTGAAGTAAAGAAATACGTTTCTGTGCCTATAGGGCAGCTAATTAAAAACTAAAGTGCCAAGAGAGTGAAGAGTGAGCTGGTGGACCAAAGAAGTGCGTCTTGGCCGGAACAGAAGGCATGGCCCGGAGTAGCCAGATGCCAAACTCCCCCTGTGAGCTTGCTGCTGGGAAGCCAGAAAAATCCCACCCAGCAGGACGAACAAGATACACTTTATGGGCTCAGAGATCTGAGCATTGGAGTCCTGGGATCCACTCCCCTATTTAATGTGTCTCTTCCCTCACTGGGTGGGGAAAGACCTTCCTCAGATGATGGATTGCATTTCCTGTAAAGCATCATTGCTTTGTTGGCCTTCCCGTCCATATGTGACCCATCCCTGTTCTGAAGACTTGAGTGGTCACCCTGCCCCGCTCCTCAGCCGGCCAGCAAAGGCTTCCCACAGGTGCCCTCTTGCCTTTTCAGCCAAATGTCTCACCAGTCTTGCCTCTCACAGCGACACCTCCACTCCAGCCTCATTCAGGGATTAGCTCTTGAAAACAAGCAACAAGCCTCGGGCTCTGATGCCTCACTGCGTTTGCCCATAGCATCTCCCCACGTGGTCATCTCCACCACCTCTTCCCCACCCCATTCCTCAAGAGCTGGCCAAGTCCCACTTCTTCCAGAAGCTTTCTGTGACTACCTACCGGAAGCGATGTCTGTCCCGAGAACTGTGCAGCCCCGATGCTGGTACAACTCTTGGTGTTTAATATTGATGCTGGTGTTATTAGTTAGCTTTCCATGAATATTTCATACTTCCTCATGTAGGTTATCAGCTCTTTGAAGGCAGAAACTGTATTTTTTCATCCTCACACTCCTGGTACCTTGATCAAAAGAGAGTTTTGGGTGGTTCTTGCAATCCACAATAAAATAGGTGAAATTCCATGTCCAGGAGGGTGTCTGGTGCTTTGACTAGACTTTCTTGTGGATGCACAAATGAAGAACTTGCCAGTGAGCTCTGTGTTGTGCCTTTGTGAAGCTGCAGGGATGGGGGAAATAGTGGAGTCATTGTGAGCCACGTGGCAGTATATACTCAGTAGACAAACATGGGGGAGCTTTTAAATGAGTGGCTTCAACCATTGGTGATTCACTGTGAAAACAAAAGCTTTAGTCCTTGAGCCAAGGGCATGAAGTCTATCAGAAGTGAAATTTGATCAGCCTTCTAAAAGCAGCCCAGAAGTATCCTTCTTGATCAATTGGCA